TCCAAGTTTAAAAAAAAATCTTGTCAAAGGCATTCATGGTCGAGATCATTGGATTGCAGTGAGTTCTCCAGGCTTTATGGCCATGTTCCAGAAGCATTCTCTCCTGCTGTTTCACCCACATCTATGGCAAGACATGATCTTGAGAAGTGCAGGGAGAAGGAGCCTAATTCACTCACAACCATAGGTTATAAATGTTATTCTTTTTTTTTTGGACTACAGTTTTGCCACACAATGTCTCAAGCTCTGCTTACACCATCCTACCCTTTCCCAGGATCCTTTGGAAGAAGCCAATATGGCTCCATGGCTTATAAATGATGGGAGTTCTGAGCAGCATAAACACAGCCTTTGAATATTTTTTTAAAAAGCATTAAGCACCATTCATGGGTAGATTCAACACAACAATTTGGTATGATTATTTGCATCCTTGTTCTAAAAATGGGATTTGCATATATCAGGGCCCAGGCTTGCCACCAATTAATTGCTAGCCTATTTTGCATGGCTTCCATTGATGGGATTCCAAGGCTAATCTGCAGATGGGAAAGCATCCTTCCCGCTGCATCGTGGAAGTGAGCATTTGTTGCCATAGCACCTCTGTGAGATTTCGTAGACAACCACAGAGGTGCCAAGAGAGCTTCCCACCAGCTGCCCACTGCAGTTAAATTTCAAGAGACATTTAAAGGGTGAGAAAATAAGGCTCAGAGAAGAAGCCCAAGGGATGGTTTTAGAACCCACAATATGCAACAGCAGGAAGATCCCCTCTCGCTTCCATGCGATTTAGACCAATACATCTCTTTGTTGAAAGGCTGAATGTTCTCATCTCCTGCTGACTGAAGTGGGAGATGAGTACACCACTTGCAGGTTTGAGGAACAACACCAGTAAATGAGCAACACGAAGAGCTGTTACTGCCATCGCTAAGTGGAGAAATCACATTAATGAATGAAGAAATTAAAGACAATTCATAAGAAGCACTCTTCACAAGACAGAATGTAAGGTCCTTGAGCAGGGCTGTAGAACAGAAGGTCTTTCACAAGGTATTGTTCTACTGCTCAAATCAAGAGTAGATGGATACTTGTGGTGGAGGTTTGTGGGAGTTAAAATCCAGTAATGCTAGAGGCCTGCATGCATATGTATAGGAGTATAGGAGGAACCTGTGGTACAGGGCAGCCATATGAGATGAGAGATCCTGAACAAGCAACCCAGAAAAGTAACATATTCAAAGTTTCGCTGATGCCTGTAGCTCGTTTGACCAAAAGAGTCATTGCAACTGTGTTAGAACTCTAGCTCTAAATCCAATCGCTAATTCTAACTGAATCAATTCCCTATTTATGTAATTTCCATTGATTCAATAGGCCTACTTCAACTGCGTCAAAAAAATTGATTCAACATGCAGAGAGATGTAATAGAGCTGTCATAAACCCGCTGTTGAAAAAACCATCACGGGACCCCACTCAATTCGTCAACTATTGGACTGTTTCCAATCTCCCCTTTTTGGGCAAAGTCCTGGAATGTGTGGTGGCCTCACAACTCCAGGTATTCTTGGAAGACATGGATTATCTGGATCCAGCACAGTCTGGCTTTAGACCGGGACATGGAACCGAGAAAGCCTTGGTCGCCTTAGTTGATGATCAACGCCGGGAGCTAGACAGGGGAAGTGTGTCCCTGTTGGTTCTGCTGGACCTCTCAGCGGCCTTCAATACCGATGACCACGGTATCCTTCTGGGATGCCTCACTGGAATGGGCCTGGGGGGCACTGTTTTACAGTGGCTCCGGTCCTTTCTGGAGGGTCGCACCCAGAAGGTGTTGTTGGGAGACGCCTGTTCAACCCCACATCCTGGGGTTCCTCAGGGCTCAATACTGTCTCCCATGTTGTTCAACATATACATGAAGCCGCTGGGGGAGATCATTTGGAGTTTCAGGGTGCGGTGTCATCTGTACGCAGATGATGTCCAACTCTGTCACTCCTTCCCACCTGCTACTAAGGAGGCTGTCCAGGTCCTGAACTGGTGCTTGGCCGTTGTGACGGTTTGGATGAGGGCGAACAAATTGAAATTGAATCCAGACAAGACAGAGGTACTCCTGGTCAGTCACAAGGCTGAATAGGGTATAGGGTTACAGCATGTGTTGGATAGGGTTATACTCCCCCTGAAGACTCAGGTTCGCAGCTTGGGTGTGATCCTGGACTCATCGCTGAGCCTGGAATCTCAGGTTTCGGCGGTGACCAGGGGAACATTTGCACAGTTAAAACTTGTGCGCCAGCTGCGCCCGTACCTTGGGAAGTCTGACTTGCCCACGGTAGTCCACACTCTGGTTACATCCCGTATAGACTACTGCAACACTCTCTATGTGGGGTTACCTTTGAAGACGGTCCAGGAGTTTCAACTAGTCCAACGAACGGCAGCCAGTTGTTAACAGGAGCGTTGTTCAGGGAGCATACAACCCCCTTGGCTGCCAGTTTGCTACCGGGCCCAATTCAAAGTGCTGGCTTTGGCCTATAAAGCCCTAAATGGTTCTGGCCCAACTTACCTGTCCAAAAGTATCTCCCTTTACGAACCACTGAGGACTTTAAGAGCATCTGGGGAGGCTCTGCTCTTGGTACCTTTGTCACAAGCACGTTTGGCGGGGACGAGAGACAGGGCCTTCTCAGTGGTGGCCCCTCGGCTATGGAACGCCCTCCCTAGGGAGATCAGATCTGCTCCCTCCCTCTTGATGTTTCGGAGGCAAGTTAAAACGTGGCTATTCGAGCAAGCGTTTACAAATACAGAGTAGTTAATATAGGAAATCAATGACCTGACAATGGAACTGGACAACGCTTGAGAATAATGAGATGCTGATGATGTTGTTTTTACTGTTTTTGTGATGTTTTATACTGTTTAATGTTTTTTATCTATATTATGTATACTGATTTGTTGGAAACCACCTTGAGTCACCAATTGGCTGAGAAAGGCGGTATACAAATACAGTAAATAATGATGATGATGATGATGATGATGATAATAATAATAATAATAATAATAATAATAATAATAATAATGTTGCAGCATCATTGAGACTGAGACCCAATCTATGCTGCCATATAATGCAGTTTCACATCACGGTAGCAATGAAGATCCACATAGAAAAAGCAATGGTATTCCCCATAGTAACCTATGGATGTGAGAGCTGGACCATAAGGAAGGCTGAGCGAAGGAAGATAGACGATTTTGAACTGTGGTGTTGGAAGAAAATTCTGAGAGTGCTTTGGACCACAAGAAGATCCAACCAGTCCATACTCCAGGAAATAAAGTCTGAGTGCTCATTGGAGGGAAGGATATTAGAGGCAAAGATGAAGTCCTTCGGCCACATCATGAGAAGACAGGAAAGCTTGCAGAAGAGAATGATGCTGGGGAAAATGGAAGGAAGAAGAAAGAGGGGCCGACCAAGGGCAAGGTAGATGGATGGTATCCTTGAAGTGACTGGCTTGTCTCTGAAGGAGCTGGGAGTGGTGACAGCTGACAGGGAGCTCTGGCCTGGGCTGGCCCATGAGGTCATGAAGAGTAGGAAGTGACTGAATGAATAAACAACAATGGAGGTGTAGACGGGGCCTAGGTCTCACACCCCATGCAGATATAGTGCCTTAATGTTTAAGTCAATAGTGATGCTGGATGGGGGCATGAAAAGCTCCATTTTATTGAAGTTCAAATTCAGTTGGACCTCCACACTTGTACCTTCTCTGGATTAGTTTATTTTGTGTTTGAATAATATGGTTTCTCTAGAAATCTCTAAGTCCTCCATTGTGACTCAGTCGTTAAGACATGCCATTGAGTTGCATTGGAAAAATCTAAAGATTCATAGAGTGGTCTTGGATAAAAAGGTTATTTTTTATTTGTGTTTTTCCTCTTCCATGGGGTTCTGCACCCTTAGCTGCAACAAATATGTAATGCTGACTATAAGTACAGGGGGGTCTTTTTCCATTTTAGTCTTGACAAAAATGATTCCCAATCTACCCTTTTCACAACAAAGCAATTATTTCCTCCCCCATAAAATATTAATATTAAAGAAAATGATTTTGAGATTTTTTTTGGGGGGGGGGGGAATCAAAGAACATACTTTTCCCCATCATTTGAATTATTTCCATGGTATTACGTAAAATGTGGTAATTTTAAGGAAACGTATATCTACGCTAGTACAGAGTGGTAGCATCATGTTCCCTTTTATCTTGCGTACTCTCTAAGGATGTTTCTTTCACAATGACATAGCAATCATTTTCCCACTGTCACCTCCACCTTTTGAAAAGTTACGAGGAACAAAGGATCTGTGAAATTGTTCTGAACCAGGAAACAGCCACTGAACATCTAAGAGACAGGAGGAGAGGCAAAAACAGCAGCCCAGAATTGGAGCCAGAAAAACAAGTCTGGTCAAGGGGGTTAACACCAAAGCTGTCTCATGCGAGTGTGGAGAGGAGCAAACCACTGACCACTTGCTGCAATGCACCCTGAGCCCTGCCACATGCACAAGGGAGGACCTTCTTGCAGCAACACCAGAAGCACTCCAAGTGGCCAGATACTGGTCAAAGGACATTTAATCAACTCTCATACTCACAAATTTTGTAATCTGCTTGTTTGCTTTGTTCTGTTAGAAATGTAATATAATTTGACTGGTTGTTCTGACACGACAAATAAAACCAAAGCTGTGTCTACATTGTAGAACTAATACAGTTTGTCACCACATTAATTGCTATGGCTCAGTGCTATGGAACTCTGCAGTTTGTAGTTTGGTGAGGCACCAGTATTCTTCAGCAGAGAAAGCTAAAGACCTTGTAAAACTATAACTCCGATTGGCTTGGTGGATAGTTCCAAGTTGGATAGTTCCAACGAGACAATACATATTAAATGCTTGGTTGACTTGTAAGTCAATACATATGCAAATCCAACTAGTTCAATGGATCAACCCTAATTGGAATACTAACATGATTCACACCATAGGGAACCCCAGTGCAAGGGAAAAATAAAAGCAAACCTACCGTTTCATCAGTTCCAGGTTTGTCCGTAATAACTGGTGGCAACAGCACATCTGTTGGAGTTGTTGGGTCTGGGCTTCCTCCACCTCCAATCAGTGAAACCACACCATTGCAATCCACAGAACTGTTCCTCTTGCCATTGTGTGTGTAGTTTGGAGAGCTATGGCTTGCTTGACTCTGCACACTCAGCCGCCTTCCATTCCTTGGAACCAGCAAGGACCCACGTTGGCTCTCACTCTCCCCCACAGTGCTAATGTCGTCATCTGCAAAATCCGCCTCCGAGCCAATGTCCCTACTGCGCAACCGGAAGCTGAAGACACTTCCATGGCTGGCTTTGCGCTTCACTGAATTTTCCATTGAGCCAGAAGTAAATCCCAGGACAGTCTTGAAGGGCCCATAGAGGATGGGAAAAGAAAGTCAGGAATGAGTGGGGAAAGAAGTAGAATTTTACAGAAGATCAACTCACTCTATCATCCTATTTTGTAATCATAATAATTCTGGTTATTATTTTTTGAACCCAGTTATTGCCTTTTGAGATGACTAAGCTGAGATTGCCATACTTCAGACATACCATAATAAGAAATGACTCATGGGAAAAAGAGTAGAGGTTGAACATACAATCATATAATCATACAGTTGGAAGAGACCTCATGAGCCATCCAGTCCAACCCCCTGCCAGGAAATAGGAAAATCGCATTCAAAGCACCCCTGACAGATGGCCATCCAGTCTCTGTATAAAAGCCTCCAAAGAAGGAGCCTCCACCACACTCCGGGGCAGAGAGTTCCACCGCTGAACGGCTCTCACAGTTAGGAAGCTTTTCGTAATGTTCGGGTGTCATGATCCAATCCCCCCCCCCACACACACACACACACACAAGTTGGATGTGATTGTTTGGTAGGAGATCTCCTTTATGGTATTAAATTTCTCCCAAAATGTCAGGTTCCTTATATCCTTAGTCTTTTAGATACTTGGTCTCTCTCCAGCCTCACATCTGATATGCAACACAAGTAGTTAATCAATGAGAAGTGATGCCATAGAGATAACCAACCAAGATTGGAGAGAGATGCTGAGATTTAAAAAAAAAATGATTTTGGAGTATTTGTGGAATGCCAGGAATCCAGGCTTACTCCTCAACACAAATCCATGCCTCTCACAATTTCACAGACTTTGTAAAAAAAAAAGGTTAGCCTTTGTCACTGCAACATGGTTGTATACCACCTACTGTACAGCATGGTATCTGCTTTGGATCAATGTACCCCAAAATCCTCAAAATGATAAGCTTTATAGCTTTTCCATTATTATATATTGTTGAGATTCTACAGGAGAATGGAGAAGCACCCAGGAACTTCTGGCTGTCCTTCAGAAGCTGGCACAAAGACATTGTGCAATGTGAAACAGAATACCTCCTTATACAACCTTCGAAAGCAAATAGGCTGGTGTTACCAGCAGTTATATCATTGTAAAGCATCTATAGGATTCTGGCCAAAAATGACAGCGAAAGATAAGGAAATCTTTCTAATTGTCAATGCGCAAACAATCTGGTTTCTGTGAATTGGCAACTGGAGTTGAATCTTCTCATCAGCATAATTAGGGGAGCAAAGAGGTCGGGATTTATCTGGACTAAGACAACTTGGCTTCAATTCTTTGTGAAAGGTGCTGAACACCGTTTTTGCACAGAAGATGTATCATAAGCTTGGCCTTTCTCCTTGCCATGTTCTTTGTACATGACAAATGCATGAATGCGAGATGAAAAGAGGATTCATCCGCTGAAGGAACACATCGAGAAAAGTGTTGCTTCGCTCTGCATTCATTCTGACGCTTTCTATTTAGCGTGCCAAAATTGATTCCGACCACAGCAGCTCACTCTGCTGTTTTGGCATGAACAATCTTGTAATTAGCAAGGCAAGGCAGTCAATTAAACAGGAGGGAAGTCTCTCCTACCCCCACCTCTCTCATGAAACCCAGAAAGAAACAAAACAAAACAAATCAATTCCTTTGTCACACATACAAAGGAATCATTCTGAGTGCATAGTGGTGTATGTGACTTTTGTCATTTATCGATCATGTCTATGTCTCTCCTTTGCAGACTTTTAGTGTGACAACTGTGATTGGCACTAACAATTAAGGATGCTGAGATTTTACATAGACTGCCTTTGTTAATCTGACAGTTTTGAGAAGCTCTGGGTTGGCACGTCTGGGGAAAGAAGTGGGCAATAGGGAACAGGGGGATTAATACAGCTTTTTGCTCAGTGTTTTTTGTGGAGCTGAGTAATCATTCATAAGTGCGTGGCAGCTCATTCTTCTTTCGTACGTGTCATGCCAGATTCCACAGGTTCATCCTGTGGGATTGTGGTCATGAACATCGGAAACTCTTTATACTGAGTCAGACTTATGTTTTATTAGGACTAGCCCTGTTTTCTGTTCCAAAGGGCAGGAACACTTGAAAAGCTTGAAGGTAAAAAAAAAAAGGTCTTTCCCATTCTCAACATGTGAGATCCACTTCTGGAGGCCAAAGTCTGAATGACTGAGCATCTATAATCAAAGTAGATACTGTGCTTCTAAGTAACAGACAGATTGGTGATCCTGCTACTGTACATCTGATATGTTTGTTGGTGTGGTCTTTTGGGAAATTGGTTTCAAAGCTTTGAATATGGGATGGATCACCATTCACTTGGCAACTAATATATCTCATGCCAGCAGGCCAATGCATATTTCCTTGGTTTAAGTGGGGGTTGTGGGGAGTGGGGTTGAGCTCAGCACCTTTAACGCCTCTTCTGAAGTATGGACTAAACCTCGGAGTGGATTCAACATCAATTTGTGAAACCCATCAGCTAATACTGCCTGTCAAAGTACATGGGTTTCCTTTCATAAGGGGAGGTAACTCAACAAAAAGAAATGAAAACCAATAGAAATACCACTTCGTCTGCCATCAGTGTTTGGGTTAGACTTTTAGAAGTAATACAGAATAGTCTATAACAGTGATTCTCAACCTTTGAGTCCCCTGATGTTTTGGCCTTCAAACCCAGAAATCCTAACAGATGGTATACTGTCTGGGATTCCTGGGAGTTGTAGGCCAAAACATCTGGGGACCTACAGGTGGAGAACCACTGGTCTATAACATAGGTAAACATTGATAAATCAGTCATTTCTGTGACTGTGGAATAATGCATTTGCTTTTTTCCCATCTACAAAGCCACATAGTTGGAAAGAGACCAGAGGACCACAGTCAGTGGGTATAAGAGGAATATCATTTTAAATCTGAGGTTGAGAGCCTTTGTCCTTCCAGATGTTTCAGACTACAGCTCTCATAATCCTTAACCACTGCAATAAATTCCTGGAGACTAAATAATAATCAAAGCAGATTATCAAAGCAGATAATCCACATTATCTGCTTTGAACTAGGTTATATGAGTCCACACTGTCATATAATCCAGTACAAAGCAGATAATCGGGATTTTATTTGGCAGTGTAGAAGGGGCCTAAAACTCAAAAAGTCTGGAGACTCAAAGAATGATGTATGATATAATTGAAGTAAATAGATAAATGATTGAAGTAAATAGATAAAATGTAGAATAACACCTTGTAAAAGCCAATAATATCCTCTACAATCCAGACATTGTTCTACAAAGAAAGAAGAGTTGTGTCTGAATTAATGTAACGGGGGACTGAAAGCTCCAGAGATTTCACAAAACATAGAACCTGAGGCCCTTCTACACAGCCCTATCTTCCAGAATATCAAGGCAAAAAATCCCACATTATCCAAATAACCAAGTTCAAACCTTGATATTCTGGGTTATATGGCTGTGTGGAAGGACCCTGGAGCTACTACTTTGGAGATTGACTTCAGGCAACTAATCCAGCCTAGGATGGAATCCTTTCCTCATGTAGCAAGATTACTATAATTTTATGGAAATTGCATTCACATTTTCATTTCATTTTCAGCAAAAACTAACCGTTCTTCGTTGGCCATCCTCTGATTCAGATTTTGGGCCCTTTTGATCTTCCCCATCATCTTCTGCCCCTGAGGACTTTTTCCTTCTTCTCCTGCTTCTTCGTTCTTTGGAGTTTTTTGATGCCAAAGGTGACATTTCAAATGAGCTGAGTGACATTGAATCGATTCCTCGAGCTAATGCCTGGGAGAGAGAAATGAAGAGAACATAGCAGAGAACTATGCTACTACCTTTAATTGTGTATTTGATGGCTATGGATCTAGAACTTTATGCCAGTTGCCCTTGTTTATTTTCATATCATCCAAAGTTCCAAACAAATGGGAGATCCCACCTCTGTCCAAACACGTGTTGAAGTTGAAGAAAGCCAAATGAATTACAAAAGATCAGGAAATTTGTGGGCTTGGATGCCTATCTGCATCTTTATTTCATTTTAACTCATTTGAAGTAGGTTTCTTACACCATAGGTTTAGAACCATGTTTTTTGTGGGCTTGGATGCCTATCTGCATCTTTATTTCATTTTAACTCATTTGAAGTAGGTTTCTTACACCATAGGCTTAGAACCATGTTTAAATAGGAGCTGAAATTTCAAACTGGAAGGAGGAAAGAAAGTGCCCTCAACATCCCATTTCTGGTGGTGTTCCTCTAACTTATAAGATGTCACCTACAGAAAGGGATTTCAGCAGGTGTTGCTTTTGATCTAGTGTGACAACCAACACCTGCTGATTTTCTCCTTTCCACACAGTCATTCAAGGTATAGGAATCATCCTCAGTCTTCAGTCTGTTTTCACTCCCTGGTTACCTTCTCTTGCCCTGGGGCCCCTCTATCAATTACTTTAGATTTTGTTCCAACTGATCACAGTCTTAACCATTACCCTCCTCTTCTCATATGGATAGTTCTCTGATTAATTTCCTTTAAGTACTGGAACATTTTGACACCTTCCTTTTCTCTAGCCCCTCCCTTTCTGATATTTGGAGTGCCCTGATATTAGAGAAGTATGGTCTAGTCCTTCACAGTTTTGCTGGTGGCATCATCAAGGCACTCCAGCTTCAGAACAGTGACAAGACAATGATCCTTTGCTGAAGACAAACTTTGTATTTCTAGGTGCAAAGATTACTGCAGACACAGACTGCAGTCAGGAAATCAGAAGACATTTACTTCTTGGTAGGAGAGCAATGACCAATCTCGATAAAATAGTGAAGAGTAGAGACATCACACTGGCAACGAAGATCTGCATAGTTAAAGTAATGCTATTCCCCATAGTAACCTATGGATGTGAGAGCTGGACCATAAGGAAGGCTGAGCGAAGGAAGATAACACTTTTGAACTGTGGTGTTGGAGGAAAATTCTGAGCATGCCTTGGACCAAAAGATCAAACCAGTCCATACTCCAGGAAATAATGCCCAGCTGCTCACTGGAGGGAAGGATATTAAAGGCAAAGATGAAGTATTTTGGTCACATAATGAGAAGACAAGATACCTTGGAGAAGGTAATGATACTGGGGAAGATGGAAGGAAAAATGAAGAGGGGCCAACCAAGGGCAAGATGGATGGATGTTATCCTTGAAGTGACATGCTTAACCCTGAAGGAGCTGGGGTGACAATGGCTGACATGGAGCTCTGGTGTGGGCTGGTCAATGAGGACACAAAGAGTTGGAAGCGAATGAATTATGAACAACAACAACAATGGTCCTGCCATCAAAACCATATTAAAGATGAGAACTGGGCCAAAAGAAATACCCAGAATGTATGAGGCTTCATCAAAAAGTAATGCCTCCATTGCCTTGACTTTTATTTCTTTCACAGCTACTGGATTTTATGTGTATGATATGATAGAGATAATCTAATTCTACCGATATAGTCTTTTCTTTTTTTTCAATTGACTGACACGAGCCAACAAAGTGATGTGGCGGCAAAAAAACCCAATGGGATTTTGACCTGCATCAATAGGAGCATAGTGTCTAGATCTAGGGAAGTAATGCTCCCCATTCTCTATTCTGCTTTGGTTAGACCACACCTGGAATATTGTGTCCAATTCTGGGCACCACAATTCAAGAGAGATATTGGCAAGCTGGAATGTGTCCAGAGGAGTGACTAAAATGATCAAGGGTCTGGAGAACAAGCCCTATGAGGAGTGGCTTAAGGAGCTGGGCATGTTTAGCCTGAAGAAGAGAAGGCTGAGAGGAGATATGATAGCCATGTATAAATATGTGAGAGGAAGCCACAGGGAGGAGGGAGCAAGCTTGTTTTCTGCTTCCCTGGAGACTAGGATGCGGAACAATGGCTTCAAACTAGACAAGAGAGGAGATTCCATCTGAACACGAGGAAGAACTTCCTGACTGTGAGAGCCGTTCAGCAGTGGAACTCTCTGCCCCGGAGTGTGGTGGAGGCTCCTTCTTTGGAAGCTTTTAAACAGAGGCTGGATGGCCATCTGTCAGGGGTGATTTGAATGCAACATTCCTGCTTCTTGGCAGGGGGTTGGACTGGATGGCCCATGAGGTCTCTTCCAACTCTTTGATTCTATGATTCTATGTAGAAAAGCCAAAAAGAAAGTATCGTCATTGAATTTCTGGCAAAAGAAGGATGTGCCCCTAAGGAAATCCATCATCACTTGAAGAATGTTTACGATTTGGCCCCTTCTAACTTTTACCTGTTTGGACCTCTGAAAGAGAACCTATGTGGCTTCAGATTCAATGACTGGAGTGACGTTTAAAATCATGTGTCACGAAGCAAAACCCTTAATCTTTCCAAAATGGTTTTAATGCCTGGGTTAAATGATGACACGAATGTGTACAAATTTATGGCGACTATGTTGAATGGTAGCTTTGTGTAGAGGACAGTTCAGGCTATGATTTGTAGCAAATTCTGCTGTTATATGTTCATTCATAACATTTTTATGACACAGGAGGCAAAGCTGCTATTGTGAGACAGGTAATAATAGGTTTTGACCTCCCCAAAAAATCAAGAGGCTAGTAAGGATAACAATTGAAGGTGCAGCTCTATACAGTTCTGCAGTAGCTCTTCAAAACTCATGGCCACTTGTTCAATAGGGACCAATAGCCTGGCAGGGTTGGAAGCTAGAGAAGCTTGTTGTTGTTCATTCGTTCAGTTGTCTCTGACTCTTCGTGACCTCATGGACCAGCCCACGCCAGAGCTCGCTGTCGGCCGTCACCACCCCCAGCTCCTTCAAGGTCAGTCCAGTCACTTCAAGGATGCCATCCATCCATCTTGCCCTTGGTCGGCCCCTCTTCCTTTTGCCTTCCACTTTCCCCAGCATAATTGTCTTCTCTAGGCTTTGCTGTCTCCTCCTGATGTGGCCAAAGTACTTCAACTTTGTCTCTAGTATCCTTCCCTCCAATGAGCAGTCGGGCTTTATTTCCTGGAGGATGGACTGGTTGGATCTTCTCGCAGTCCAAGGCACTCTCAGAACTTTCCTCCAACACCACAGCTCAAAAGCATCTATCTTCCTTCGCTCAGCCTGCCCTAAGGTCCAGCTCTCACATCCGTAGGTTACTACAGGGAATACCATGGCTTTGACTAGGCGGATCTTTGTTGCCAGTCTGATGTCTCTACTCTTTACTATTTTATCGAGATTGGACATTGCTCTCCTCCCAAGAAGTAAGCGTCTTCTGATTTCCTGGCCACAGTCTGCATCTGCAGTAATCTTTGCGCCTAGAAATACAAAGTCTGTCACGGCCTCCACAGTTTCTCCCTCTATTTTCCAGTTGTCAATCATTCTTGTTGCCATAATCTTGGTTTTTTTTATGTTTAGCTGCAACCCAGCTTTTGCGCTTTCTTCTTTCACCTTGATTAGAGTAGCTAGAGAGCCACATTAATCCCCGCAAGAGACCCTGGAAGGCCACAACTTTTCCTTCAGGGCATCAGTGCCCCATGTGTGGAAAACACATTGATGTCAAACAAGCCACTCTCAACATCCTGCACTATTGTCATGTGTTAATTGGCGGCAAGTACAGGGAACGCCTATTACAAATTGACGTTTGGCTTTTTATTATTACGATGATCATCTTCTTCAAAGATAGTCCCATGCTTTAAGGAGGAGGAAATTAATGGCTTTTCATTCATTCTTTGCAGCCCACACCATTAGTTTGAGTTAATTAGCATTCTTTCCAGATTTGCTTTATTGATCTTCCAGCTTCAAACAGCCATTAGCATCCCATTATTCAACAAGTGGAATAATAGTGGAGAGGGGCAGGGGGGTCAGCTGTTTAAACACTGCCAGTGTTGCCCTTGTACAAATAAAACAACTCATCGACCATAAACCATGCACATCAGGGCAGAGAGGGGAACACAATAGCTCTGATTAAACAAAAAGGAAGCTGCTGTCAACTGGTATGGGATCATTGGCTCATAATAACCATTGTTGTCAATCAGTGTTTCTCAATCTGAGGGTCGGGACCCCTGGGAGGAGTCATGAGGGGGTTCAGAGGGGTCACCAAAGACCATCAGAAAACACAGTATTTTCTGTTAGTCATGGGGTTCTGTGTGGGAAGTTTGGCCCAATTCTATCGTTGGTGGGATTCAAGGGGCTCTTTGATTGCAGGTGAACTATAAATTCCAGGAACTACAACTCCCAAATGTCAAGGTCTATTTCCCCCAAGCTCCACCAGTGTCCACATTTAAGTACTATTTCCAAGTTTGGTCCAGATCCATCATTGTTTGAGCCCACAGTGCTCTCTGGATATAGGTGAACTACAACTCCCAAACTCAAGGTCAGTGCCTACCACACCCTTCCAGTATTTTCTGTTGGTTATGGGAGTTCTGTGTGCCAAGTTTGGTTCACTTCTATCATTGGTGAAGTTCAGAATGCTCTTTGACTGTAGGGGAACTATAAATCCCAGAAACTACAACTCCCAAATGACAAAACCAATCCCCTCACAACCCCGCCAGTATTTGAATTTGGGAATATCAAGTATTTGTGCCAAATTTGGTCAAGTGAATGAAAACACATCCTGCATATCTGGTATTACGATTCACAACAGTAGCAAAATTACAGTTCTAAAGTCACAATGAAAATAATTTTATGTTTGGGGGTCACTACAGGAGGAATTGTATTAAGGGGTCACGGCATTACGAAGGTTGAGAAACACTGAATTAAATTGATTCCCTCCAGAGCAGGCTGTTAGGAATTGTGGGAGTTGAAGTTCAAAGTACCTGGAGGGTCAAAGTTTGCCCATGCCTGCTCCAGAGCATGGAATCATTATTTTGGACTTCAACTCCCCATATTCCCAGACAGCCTTGCTATGATTATGTTGGCTTGGGGGTTCTGGCATTTGCAATCCAAATAATAATGTTTCCAAGCTTTGGCTCCCTATCTGGACAACATTTGATGATAGTCCAGAGCATGTCTCTGGAAGGTACAAATATTGCAAGAGTCAAAGTATGCCTCTACCATTGAATATATGCATGGTACCACTATTTATGGAGCCCCCGGTACCGCAGCGGGTTAAGCCCCTATGCTGGTAGGGCTGAAGACTGACAGGTTGGAGGTTTGAATCTGGGAAGAGCATGGATGAGCTCCCTCTGTCAGCTCCAGCTCCCTATGCGGGGACATGAGAGAAGCCTCCCACAAGGATGTTAAAACATCAAAACATCCGGGCATCCCCTGGACAACATCTTTAGAGACGGCCAATTCTCTCACACCAGAAGTGACTTGCAGTTTCTCAATTTGCTCCTGAAACAAATAATAATAATAATAATAATAATAATAATAATAATAATAAACTGTATTGCTTCAGACTGCCGGTGGGCTATTAGTTTCCATACCAGCCTGATGTATGCCAGATAAAATTGGTGATGGAACTGATAAACTGGAGAGAATGTGTATCTTTGAGGAAAGATCGTCTGCAATTTGTTTGTGAGATGGAAATATATCCTCCTTGGAAGCAAAGTGGTATATACCAGAATTGCATGGCTTCAGTCTGCTACCTCATTGTGGACAGTGGACAGATTGAATAAAAAAACACAAATGAAAAGAAAGGTTTGCCCCTGCCCTAATGTGACCTTTTTGGTTCATCCCAACTAGCAGTTCCTTTCCGCATAATCACTGCTGAGTTATTTTTCCTTCTCTGTTTCCAGTTTCCGCTGCAATATTTTGATTACTTTTCTCTCACTGCCAAACACATACCTTGAACTAGGCTTCAGATCCATTTCTAGCACCTCTTGGTGTTATCAGGCTTTTCCTGCCACGATTCCTCCAGATAACTGAAGCAGAGAGGCATGCTGCCCAGGCATGCGGAGGGGAAAAGTCCATCTTATCTGTGTATTATATATGTGGGTTGTTGTTGTTTTCAGAGCCCATGATTTGTGTTTATCACTCTGGATCCCTGGTCACAGCACGTTATGTCACCTTGTAGGATAAGATTTTGCTTGGCAACAAAAATTATATTTTTTTACATCAGCAGAAACAGTACAGGTTTTGCTGGGAGAGGCAGAGATCACACAGAGGCAGAGTCTCATGGCTGGGGACTTTGCCTTCACCACAATGTTTGGGCACTAATAGAAATGTCATGTGGCTCTTGAACATGCAGATGATGGTAGCTTAACGTTATCATCTGTGAATCCAGGAAACAAGAGGGAGATAGGCTAGAGAAGTAGGGGGCAACTTCAGATTCCTTCCTTAACTGTTCTGAATTGGCAGAGAGAATTGGCAGTGGATTACAGAATGTCCCAGATTCTCTGGTTCAAAGTGTTAATGGGATGATGCTCTACTTTACAATGGCAGGATAGAATCTGTGATGGCACGCCTGAGCCTTTTGGGAAAACTATATTGTCTGGCTTTACTTGGGGGCTATCTGATACCTTCTGTTAAGATTAAGACCCAAACAAGACAGAGGCACTTTGAGGCAAGGTGAAAAGATAACCAAATGAGTTTACTGAAACAAGATTAATAAAGGGTTAACTCCACCTGGGAAAAATCATAAGGTAACTGAAAACAATACATTACAAAAGGTGCCTTTGCTGGTTGCAGTCATATTTCTGGAATCTTTGAAAGTCTTTTGCCTGTGGTGTAAAGCGATGGATTATAAGTTGTTGCTTACAACCTGTCTTAATCTTCTTTCCTGTGAAGCTTAGGCTGGCCAAAAGCTTCTGTTGTCTTTTGGACTGCTGGTATAAAAATACTGCTGAATGCAGCAGGTGCTAAGAATGCCTGTTTTGGATTGCTAGACCTAGAATACCAGACAATATCCAAGCCTCTAATTCACTGTAGCTCTGCTGTAGAAAGGAATTTTAAGCTCCACCCAAAAACCAATACAGAGGAAGTTATCTACACCTTTTGGAAATCCTATAAACAGGGGGAACTAAAGCAAAGGAGAGAAAAGGGCAGACTAAAACTTCACAGAATTACAGAGTCAAAGAGACCCAAGAGCCACCCTGTCCAACCCCATTTTGTTATGCACTCCTGACAAATAGCTATCCAGTCTCTGCTTAAAAGCCTCATGAAAGGAGACTCCACCATGGTCCTCTTCCTTCATGTATTCATAGAACTAGCCTCGTGTAATAGTTTGTATGTTGGACAAGGAGTATGGGACACCATGGTTCAAATCTCCACTCAGGGATGGAAAACCCTACTGCATGGTCTTGATAAAGTCCCACTCTTTCAGCCTCAGAAGAAGACAATGGCCAAAATCCTCTGAACAAATCTTGCCAAGGAAATCCTGTGATAGATTCAGCTTAGGTTGCTATAATATGTAAATAACTTGAAAGCTTGCAACAATCAGGTCAATTGCACTGATGTGGCATTGGGGGCTGTATGGTGGTGGGATGTGTGTATGGAGGGATTGATGTGTTGTTTTATGGTGTGTGTATTCTATTCAACAACCCATTGGGCACACCATACCTCCATGTATGTATAAAGACCTGATTTGCACAAACTCTGTTCATTTTTGGAAGAATGGATAATATAATGCTTTAGCTCAGGCTATTCTCCATAGAAGAGCCTAGTTTCAATGTACCATAGAAGAGCCTAGTTTCAATGGTGGCAACAGTGGGGCACATTCATGCCCCACAAGAACAATTCAGACACCAGTCACTGGCCCACTTTACAAATTCTAATGGCACAGTGTCTTCAAGTACACTGAAGGCTGTCATGCAGAAAATGGCATATTTGCTCTCTCTTGCTCCAGAATACAGGACTTAGACCAATGAGTGGAAGTAGCAAAGAAACAGATTTTGGCTCCACATTAGGACAACTATTTTGGCAGTAGGACAGTGTGCTTTGGAAAGCAGTAGCCTCTTCTTCCCTTTGTAGTTGTGTTCCTTCAAGTTGTATCAAGGTCACCCAGTTGGCTTCTATGGTTGAGCAGGGATTCAAACCCTGGTCTCCAGAGTCATAGTCCAACTCTCAAACCAGAGTCATAGTCCAACACACTGGCTCTCCTTCACTGGAAGTATTTCAGTCATGGCTGGAAGGCCATCTGTCAGGCATGTTTGATCTGGACAGAGGAGTGGTGGCCTTCAGTTCTAAAATTCACTCATTGGATTGAGATAATTTACTTTGAGTCATCTTGTCATCCCAATCCTTATATAAAGCATAAGGCTGTCAGTTGCCTGCAAATATCTAGGCATGTTCATGTATTGGCAGGGAGAAAAATGAAGAAGATAGTGTGTAGAAGAGAAGGAAGAATACAAAAAGCATTGAGTTATTGCAAAAAAAAAAAGGCCTACGCTACAGCTGTTACAAAGGATATCTATCCGTCTTTTCCCTGTAGTAGGGAAAATCCTGCAAATGTCTAAGAACACAACCATCTGTCTGGATCAGCAAAAGATTTGCCACCAGGCCTTAAGACATCTTCAGACTAACCACCACAAAACAGAAATCTGTAAGAGCTGAGCCACATGGATCAAAGAATCATAACTCAGCTAAATGGTACTTGACTCTTGGTTCAATATAGCCTTGTTCTGGGCTCTTTCTGACCAGGATGATAACCAGAAATTTTGCAGTCCAAGGGCTAAAGGGGGAAGGAAAATGCTTGCAAAACATTCTGAGTCTCAACGTAGATGGTTGGAAATGCTGAGAACATAATTGTATTAACTATCAATAAAATACAATGGAATTTTCAGTTAGCCCATGGATTATACATTCATTGACCAGATTATGGAAAAATCAGAGCGAGTTCACTTCTTTGTGAAGAATTCAAGTCAAAGACTGCCTGCAGGTTTTCCTTACATCAAGGTGAGGAACTGGCGAAAAACTAAAACATGCTTCATTACATTAAACTTGAATATTCCAGATAGGAGCCAAGATTATCCTTAGGGAAGAGGTCCAAATGGGCTTTGCGCGCAGAGAATATGTGTGCAAGATCAAGTCCCATTATCCTGATGTGCTACTTTGGTTTATTTAAAATTAATTTTTAATATTGTAATCAGGCACTGTTATTGATTACCCATTTACAGTTACAAATCCAATTCAGATAAACTTAGCTATAAATAACATAAAAGGTTTACAATGTGTTGGGCCAAAATCATGTGCATTTCAATGGTGCTCAATGGCCAAAGTTGGTTTCTGAAAACAACAAGATAAAAGGATTCCAGTTTTTATCTATAATCTCTCATTTTGCCCTATTGCCTCCAAACTCCTTCAATGCCAGATTTCAATCCTTATCTAACAATTTCTAAGAGGTCACAGTGGTGATCTTCTAGGATCCATGGTTAATAATTGCAGCCACCATTTTTTTTACCAACAATATATTGGAAATGGAGATGATCTAGAGTACTGTGAGAGTTTGTGAACACTTTGTTTTAGGGTAGTATCCAAGAGCTCCCTAAAATGCCCAGAAAAGACCCAATTCCAGGCACATCTGGAACTGTTATAAATGAAAGATAGACGCAAGTCAATTACCACGACTAAGGAATGTTCTTGGTGATATGACATTTTGTAAAGTACTAGAATAGCAATCAAGAGTTGACCCAGCTGGAACAGTTGCCTGAGGATGCCACTCACGCTATGCCTGATTTGGACTGGTATAGTCTTGCAAGTGTGGAGTCATGTGATTTGGTGATGATGCAAGAGACATCAGGGCAAGCACAACAAACATTGGTTACTCAAAGACCATTGCCTAGGAATTTTGACAGACCTCTTGCTCTTTCTTCAGTGCTTCCATGGCTTCCCGAAACTTCCTCTCCTTTGCTTCCATCTCAGCGATTGTGGCTTGGTTCTGCTCTTCATATGCCATGGCCACCACAGCCAAGATCAGGTTGACCAGGTAAAAGGAGCCCAAAAAGATGACCAGCATGAAAAACAACATGTAGATCTTGCCAGCAGATCTAAGGGTCTAGAACAACAAAATTAGATAGATTATGATGATGATGATGATTATTATCAACATTATTGTATTGTCAAAGGCTTTATTGAGGCTTTATTGAAACAACATTATTGTTTAAAAGATAATCACTAAATTTATTTTTTCACAACATTTATTTTTTTCACTGTGAAGCAGGGCAACCTTGGACCTTCTTCTAGATCTAAGCAATTGATGCCTTCTGTCTCAATGCAGGAGTGAACGCACTATGAGTTTAGTCCAAACTTTTTAAAACCACACTTTATCAAGGCTGATGAACGTGTCCTCCAAATGGGTTCAGATCCTGTATATCATCTTTAAAGTTCAGACTACTATCATACTAATTTCCTTTACTTCACTGCTATATTACCAGCCACAACTGGAGATGCAGAAGATGTGCTAACTTAGCAAATTAGGGTATGCTTCTTCAATAAAAGACTAATCGAGCTTGGGAAAAGTTCTTGGGAGTAGGGCAACAAAACTATCAACTTTTTAGAATCTGTTAGCCAGTAATAAACTATAAGAAACATGGGTTTCAGATTATATAGATAATGGTGCATTCGGAACATATGTATATTTCTGCATGCAAAGCATGAATTCTGTCACTGATTTCTGATCTTCCCAATTGTGACAATGTTTAGCTTATGTTTCCAAATCTCACCAGCAATATGCACCAAACGAATAATGCACTTAATTGTTTCCACCATGTAAAAGTATGTAATTCTGCATTGTTTACCCCAAAGTCCCTGGATGCAAGGTCTAAAATCCTGTTCTGACACTATGCTAGCAACCACCATTTGTTCCAGAGTTAGCACCATAGAATCATGTAAATGTAGAGTTGGAAGGTGCCCTATGGACATCAGGTCTCATTCCCCACTCAATGTGGGATCTGCAGCTAGAAAATATCCCAGAGGAGACCCCATTACCTCTCTAGTCAATTGATGAATCACTCTAACTGTCAAGAAGTTCCTTCTAATCTTCTATCAAAATCCTCCCTACTGCAACTAAAGCCACTAGATGTAGTTCTACTCCTTGAAGCAGCAAAGAACAAGGCTGCACCCTCTTCTTTGTGGAAGAGGGAAATCATGTCAGTCCTCAGTCTTCTCTTTACCAAGCTGAACATACCCAGCTCCTTCAAGCTCTTCTCATAACTTTTGTTCTCCACGTGTCTTATTATCCTTATTGCTGTTCTCTGAACTCACTCCGGCTTGTCTATAGCCTTGCAATGGGGTGCCCAAAAGTGAACACTGTACTTCAGATGAGGTTGGAACAGCACAGAAATATAGTGGAACGATTACTTTCCTTTACTTGGAAGCAATGGTTCTATTAATAAAGGTACCTAGCTTCTTTATTGCAGCATCACACTAGTCCTTCTCACATATAGCACTCCTGAGCCAAGTATTCCCATTCTTATATCGGTACATTCAGTTTTAGGTCCTTTTGCATCTGTTCCTGTTGAATTTCATTAATTTCAGCCTAATTTTTCTAGGGTCTTTTGGAATACTGTTCCTATGTTCCAATGAATTAGTTTTTGCATCAAAGACAAATTTGATGAGGATTCCTTCTACCACATCATCTATGGGCCCTTCCAAACAGGCTCTATATCCCAGGATCTGATCCCAGGTTTTTTTGCTTTAAACTGGATTAAATGAGTCTGCACTGCCAGATAAACAGAAACCTGGGATAAGATCCTGGAATATAGGGCCTGTCACTAATAAAACATTGACCGTATTGTCGAAGGCTTTCATGGCCGGAATCACTGGGTTGTTGTAGGTTTTTTCGGGCTATATAACCATGGTCTAGAGGCATTCTCTCCTGACGTTTCGCCTGCATCTATGGCAAGCATCCTCAGAGGTAGCGAGGATGCTTGCCATCGATGCAGGCAAAACGTCAGGAGAGAATGCCTCTAGACCATGGCCATAGAGCCCAAAAAACCTACAACAACCCAAAACATTGAACAGTGTTAGTCAAAGGATAGAAACATGTGGAATTTCACTTGAAATCCCCTTCTAATTTGAAGCATAGCCACAGCTGAAAACTAAAGAGCTAGTTTTCCAACCAATTATGGACCCACCTAATGGTATTTCCATCAATTCCATATTTAGTCACTTTGCTAATCAAAATGTCATAAGGGACCATATGCAATGCTTTGCTGAAATCCAGATAAATGACATTTACCGCAGTTCTGTCATCTATTAACCAAATGATCCAATCAAAAAAAGATATAAGGTTAGTTTGGCAGGATTTGTTGGTAAACCCATGCTGGCTCCCACTAATCGCTGCATTGTCATCAAAATACTTGCAAACAGACTCCTACATAATCCGTTCTAATATTTTTCCTGGTATTGAGGTCAGGCTGACTGTCCTGTAGTTTCCTAGATCAYCCCCCCCCCCCCCGGCTTTTTTTAAAGGAAGGGACAATGTTTGTTTGTTTGTATCCAATCCTCTGTCTCCTCACTCATTTCACAAGATTTCTAAAAATGATACCAAATAGTTGAGTATATCAGCAAGTTCCTTCAATACTCTGGGATACAGTTCATCTGATACTTAAGCTTTGAACTCCTCTAGGTTAACCAAGATGATTCCTTGTGAGTGTTAATTTGTCACCTGTATTCCTTGCCATGCTTGGAAGCACACCGTTCTCATTTTTGGGGGAAAACAAACATGTATTGTGCAGTTCCAACTCTTAACATTTTATCATCTTCCAGGGCAGCAGTCCATCATTTCTTTCACTGTACTCTGACTCTGAATATATTTCTGTTGTTCCATGCTTGCCTAGCTAGTCTCAATTCATTTTGAGTTTCAGCTTTCTTTACACTGTCCCTTGCTGCAAAATTCGGTTACACACCTGTATTCTTCATCCCTTCATGTATTTCTTTACACATCCTCCTCGAGTTTAATGTGCAATTACACTGCCTTTGCTTTTTTCTGAATCTCTATATCCTTCGGCTTGGAATTTGACCATGCAGTCATGTTGGAGGATCTAGAGCAGCATTTCTGAACCTTGGGGTTGGGACTCCTGGGAGGGGGAGTCATGAGTGGGGTGTCAGAGGGGTTGCAAAAACCATCTGAAAACCCAGTATTTTCTGTTGGTCATGGGGGTTCGGTGTGGGAAGTTTGGCCCAATTCTATCGTTGGTGGGGTTCAGAATGCTCTTTGATTGTAGGTGAACTATAAATCCCAGCAACTACAACTTCCCAAATATAAAGGTCTCTTTTCCCCAAAAACCAGCAATGTTTGGACTTATTGAGTATTTGTGTCAAGATTGATCCACATCAATCATTGTTTGAGTCCACAGTGCTCTCTGGCAATAGGTGAACTACAACTTCAAAACTCAAGGTCAATGCCCACTAAACCCTTCCAATATTTTCTGTTGGTGATGGGAGTTCTGTGTGCCAAGTCTGGTTCAATTCCATTGTTGGCGGAGTTCCAAATGCTCTTTGATTGTAGGTTAACTATAAATCCCAGCAACAACAACTCCCAAATGACAAAATCAATCCCCTCCAACCCCACCCCCCAACCCCACCAATATTCAAATTTGGGAGTATTGGGTATTTGTGCCAAATTTCATCCAATGTATGAAAATACATCCTGCCTATAAATATATATATTACAATTCATAACTAGCAAAATCACAGTTATGAAAATAATTTTATGGTTGGGGGTCACCACACAACATGAGGAACTGCATTAAGGGGTCACGGCATTAGGAAGTTTGAGAACCACTGATTTAGAGATTCCTCAATGGAACACATTAGTCTGTTCTTTAAGTGGTAAACCCACAGATGTAGATGGACACCTCTATAACCATACCCGTGATCTCTCACAATGCGAAAATAGCTGCATTAGAGGGAAAGATATATACTGTTTATACGGTGAGTGTTTAGGATAGCAACAGGAGACATAGTTATGAAGATGTAGCTACATACATCCCCTGATGTAGGAGATTGACCATTATTTGGGGGCGACAGTTCTCAGAATCCCCTAGCCAACATGACCAGTGGTGTTGCAGCCTAGGGGAGTCTGTGAACTGACTTTTATCAGTCTTGAAAGGAACCATAATGGAACCAACTCCAGACTTTTAAGTAATGTTTGAACATTCTTCGCTCCCCCCCCCCCCCCAGTTTCAAAAGTAGACTATAAACAGACTATAAAGGGCTTCAAATGAGGCCAAATGAGTCATCTACCTGTTGGTAGAGGCGCTCCCAGTAATCCTGCGTCATGAGACGAAACAAGGAGAGAAAGGCCCAGCCAAAAGTGTCGAAGCTTGTGAAGCCATGGTCAGGATTTCCACCTGCTCTTAGACACCGATACCCTTTGGGACAGGAACTGCAAGGAAACAAAACAAAATGAGGAGGAATAAAGGCTAGGACTGGCCACACTTCTGGGAAACTGGACCTGCAACCACCAGCATCCTTGGCAAAGGCTCAAAATATACAGGTTTGAGCTATAACATATTGTTATCTAAAGCAAAGCACCATAGGAGCGTACACAAATGCGCGTACAAAATGCTCATGGCAAGCTTGGAGAGAAAAGGTTATTTTTGTGGACCACAGTTCCAAGAATCTGCCAGCCAGCATAGTCACTGATAGATTCTGAGAGTTATACCAGTCAAAAACATGATGTTGCTACGCTCTGGAGCATTGATAAGTCTTTCTGCATCATTCAAAACGTCTGTCTCCATCTCTTCCCCCAAATATTGCTGTTTGGAGAAGTTTGCTTTCCCTTGTGACATGGGCAAAGTATCAAAGGAGAGTATCACACTGAAAACTCCCAATCTTTTCTGAACCTGAAGGCTTTGCTACCTGAGGTTTGGTTAATACTTGAAATTAACCACCAAGAAACCCTAAAGAGTCCTTCAGGTAAAGTTCGGAAAGAACCTTGCTTAAAACTTTGAAGAATGGCTATCGGCCAGAATTTGCAATATTGGATTAGATGGTCCAATGGTTCAAGTCTGTATACATACACACACTTCTGGATTGGTTACATCTTTGCAGGTCTCCTACATCAGGAGCTGTAGCCTAAAGTTCCCAAGCAGAACTACAATATCATCCTCATACATCCTCCTCTGGGTCCCTTCATCACCATTTAGTGGTAGTGGCATGTAAACCATGGCTGAGAAGCATCTATTAACCTATAATCAGAAACCTAACAAAGTCATCCTCCAGAACCTCTGGAGATCTGGAAAGAGGTCTAACAAGGATTTGGGAGGAGAGGATCTGGGAGGATGACACTGTCATTTTGCATCTGGCCTTGGCAAAGGTGGCTGAAGTGTAGCCCACAGGCTTCATGCCACCCTCAGACACCATTTTATGGACCACGAGGATTATTTTTTCAGAACCTTGTTTGGTCTTCAATGCCCCCTGTGAAGGCATCACGGGACATTCTTACATCTCTAGGAGAGGGCTGGACTGTTTAAGGCATATAAGAGGTCAAGTCTAGGTTCAAAAAAGATGCAATGGGCATATTCTCCTAAATTATGGCAAAATGACCCCTACATCTCCTAGAGGGCATTTGCGGGCAAAACCAGGTTCCATTGTAGGCTTTGATCCATTTGTTCTCCCACCTTCAAAGAAACAGGGACACAGGCAGATGTTTTCCCAAAGTCCCTTGTTCTCCATTGACCACAAAGGGCCATGAAATAATGGATTTTGCTAAATGGAAAGAAATTCCTACAGAGATTTAGCTCATCGTGTGAGAAGGTGGAGAATTCTTCTTTCCACAAAACCCCAAAATCTCAATATGCAGCCATAACGCTGTTACCCTTGTGGATGTCCCTAAGAGGGTGCCAGATGTTATCTCACGGCTGAATCATTTTCTGCTCCTTCTCAGTATGTAGACTGCTTCTCATGCAAGTGCCCTTCAGCCTTAAAAATTAGGACTGTATTGTAACTCCAGTTCACAAGAGCAGAACTGGGGCAGCTGTTTCCATTTCTGGTGGCCTTTCTAAAGATCTGGGGGAGGGATAAAATGCTTATTATGGCAGCAGCGGAGGCAGCTTTGTATCATTTCACTTGCTCAAAAGTTGAAAAGTTTTCCTTTATCCTATATCAGGCATGGGCAAACCTTGGCCCTCCTGGTGTTTTGGACTTCAACTCCCACAATTCCTAACAGCCGGTAGGCTGTTAGGAATTGTGGGAATTAAAGTCCAAAACACCTGGAGGGCTAAAGTTTCCCCATGCCTGTCCTAGATCAAAGCAGAGTCTGGAAATGCAACTGTTTTAGACTACAGATCCCAGGAGATCCCAGGGGAGTATGGGAAGTGTAGTCCTAAACATTCCCCAGGCTCAAATTAAGTTTGGATTTAGGCTGTGCAAATATCAAGGACTACTGATGTAGAATAACATATGGCAGAGGAAGATCAGTAGAGGATGTCCTTCAGAAAATGACTCATGCCACTGAGGGACCCATGGTGCACTTATGTGGGATTCCTTGATTCCCTGGACTATATTTAGAAAGATCTGGAAGACACCAACATGCATTGACTGAAGTCTTCATTTCTAGATTTTCTAGAAAGTCTCATTTTGGAAAGCATACAAGCACCAGGGGAGGAGAAATGCTTGTCAAGTCATCAACTTATCCACTTACTTACAGGCTCTGGCAATGCCAGCATATTCCATTAGCAGAACACATCTTTCCAGAGGAACATCCATAAGACAATTAATCACAATACAAATTACAGTGTAGTTGATGAAGAACAGTTAACAACATCAATCTACCCATCCATCCATCCATCCATCCATTCATCCGGCCCCTCTTCAATAACAGCACGGTACACTTAAAAGTTATATTTGTTTAATCAAACAGAGAGGTGGACATGCTTGATATCAACAGCTATGGATAAACCTGATAAACCAAAAAAAGAACTGGACTGTCCACAGGAAAGGCAAACACATTTATCAATAGCCCTTAATTGCTGGTTGTGTGCCTCATAATATATTGATTCAAACAATGGGAGAGATCCATTATCATACTTTGGAACTTCTTAGAAGCACCTGGAAGAAAGGATGCCGAACTATACGAGAACTTGGGAAACATAAACTAAACTTTCCAAAATCCCATGGAGTTTCTATGTTGGTTGAAGAATTCTGAAATTCATAACTTTCCCTAAAGTGTGTATTAATAGTAGTAGTAATAATAATAATAATAATAATAATAATAATACTTTATTTGTACCCCGCTACCATCTCTCCAAGGGACTCGGTGTGGCTTACATGAGGCCGAGCCCACAACACAGCAATAACAAAAGCAAAAACAACAATAATACAAACAGTAAATAAAACTCATAACATAAAATAAACAATAAACATTAACAATAGCACAACGACATTTAAAAACTTATGGCTGGGCCAAATGTAATAATTAAAATTTAAAATATGCTGGACATGGCAGGTAAAATATGATTAAGATAGGATTTTCGGGAAGTGATGGGCGTGCAAACAATCCTAGGTCATTAATAAAGTGCATTTAAGGATAGATTGCTGTGAGTTTCTTATTCTGGGAAGGCACGTTGGAATAAACATGTTTTCAGACTCCTTCTAAAGATTGCCAAAGTTGGGGCATGCCTAATATTCTTGGGGAGTGAATTCCAGAGATGAGGGGCCACCAACAAGAAGGCCCTCTCCCTCGTCCCCACCAGTCGCACCTGCGACAGAGGTGGGAGCGCAAGTAGGGCCTCTCCAGATGATCGGACAGATCGTGTGGGTTTGTACACAGAAATGCCGTCACGCAGGTAGGCGGGTCCCAAACCGTATTAGGTGGATTTCTGGTGGATATAGCACAGGCCATATCGTATAGTATCTGAATTGTCCCAGATCCTCAATGCCCTCCCCATTTTAAAAAATGGTGGGATTTTCAGGTGATTTTTACTTTAAATTTATACGCAAAGATCCCACCAAACCTGAAAACAGGTATGCAAAATGTGTGAAAGTCTATTCCTCATCTTCCTGAATCCCCCCCACCCACAGAACATCCCATTCAAAATGGCAGCCAGAAACATTGCCAAGTGACTTTTGGTATCCATTTCAGACAGTATATAGCCGGCATGGACAAACTTTTTTGCCTTGGGGCTGCATTGTGGGTGGGAAGGAGAGGGCCTGTGAGAGGGTGTGGCAAGGAAAGGGGTGGGGGAGGGGGCAGGTCCTTAAGTTGTCCTCTTAGCATAAATACGGGGTTGCTTGCTCTGCCCTTATGATGGGAGGAAAACATGACATGCGGCGACTGCCCCAATCTTCATCCCTGATCCTCCTCCCACTTTTTGTCCTCGTGGAGTTATGCTGGGAGGACGGTGAGACAAGTGGCGGCCGAAAATGCTCCAGAGGGCTCTCAACCACGACGTGTTTTTCTCAGGCCATCCTCTCAGCATAAGGATGGGGCTGCTCGTGCCACCCTTATGCCGGGAGGAAAATGATACATGTGGTGACTGTCCCAATCCTCATCCCTGATCACTCTGACCAAAAAAGGTCATGAGTTCGAAGCCAGCCCAGGTTGGAGTGGGTTTCCAACCAATTGTGTAGCCTGTTGTCAACCTTTGCAACCCGAAAGACAGTTGTATCTGTCAAGTAGGAAAATTAGGTACCACCTTAAAGTGTGGGGAGGCTAAATTAACTAATTTATGAGGACATAAAAGAAAACTCCAGCAAGCACTCCAGCAAAAAGCATGCGGGGAATGCGGAAGTACTTCATCAGTGTCGCAGATGGACAATGAAAGCGACAGCTCCCCTGGTGGCCAGAAAAAGTTAAATAGCCTCTGTCTATGTCTGTATATGTTGTAAGTCAAAATTGGCATTGAATGTTTGCCATATATGTGTACACTGTAATCCGCCCTGAGTCCCCTGTGAGGTGAGAAGGGAGGAATATAAAAGGTGCAAATAAATAAATAAATAAATAAATAAATAAATGATCCTCCTCCCCAATCTGTCCTCGTGGCATTATGCTGGGAGGAGGGTGAGACAGGTGATGGCTGAAAATGCTTCAGACAGCTCTCAGTCACTACATGCCTTCCTCAGGCCATCCTCTCAGCATAAGGATGGGGCTGCTCATGCCACCCTTATGCCAGGAGGATAACGAGACATGTGGTGACTGTTCCTATCCTCCTCCCCCAATCTGTCCTCGTGGCAGTTTGCTGGAAGGAGGGTGAGACAGGCAATGGCCAAAAATGCTCTGGAGGGCTCTCAGCCGATACGTGCCTTCCTCAGGCCAACCTCTCAGCGTAAGGACAGGGCTGCTTGCACCACCCTTATGCCGGGAGGAGGGCAAGATATACGGTGGCTGAGAGTGCTTCAATGGGCTCTCAGCTGCTGCATGCCTTCCCTGTCCCTTTTGCATAA